TCTTTTAGGTTGTGGCCCAACTCCTCATAAATGAGTATGGAGAAAAAACATTCATATTTTTTTGGCCATTAGTTGGGTCCATGGTCAGAACTTATCCTTTTTGCATTTCAGCCTAAACTGCCTTAGACAAGGTCCATGTGAAACATATATTTTTAGTTTTCTATTTTCCAAAATGGCAGCTCTTTATTGGCTTTTACAGTTAAAATAAAATAATACAGAAATGTTCAAAGCCTCTCCCTATTCCAACTCCCTCTAATAAATATTTAACAGTTTAATGTTCTCCTTGACTTTAAAATTACATCCTAACATGTATATTACGTATAGTATTTGGGATCCTGCTTTTACCTCCACAGCAGCACTATAAAATGCTAAGTGCCTAGCACACACAATTTATCTCGTTTCATCCCTATTATTACCTAGTATTCTGTCCATCTTGGATGTCTCTCACTACTCCCCAGATAGTACTTAATTGTTTTCTGGGCTCCCTTAGTCATTGCAAACATTCCCTTTGTTGAACCTACTGCACTAAATCTTAAGGTATTTATTTTCATGTCTATTTCCTTTACCAGAGAGTGAATTCTTCAGAAGCAAAAATTTGAGTTTAGAACAATCTTTTTCTTCTTTAATTTTATTTTTTGTTAGAGTTTTATATGCTTTTCATTTAGAATCAAATAATTATGTAGACATCCTGTAAGTTTTGCAATGGAACAGCAGAGACTGTCTCCCCACTCTTCCCCTAACCTGTTTCCCCTTCCTCGAAGGCAGTCATTTCATCTCTTTCAGCTGGTTAGGTTGATCTTTTCCTTAATTTCTCTATATAAAATGTATGTATTGTTACTTCTTGTTTTTCCACTTTTAGGCATTATCTATTGACTTCACTTAATGGAAAATAAAAATTTAGCTCTTCTTACTTCCTCCATCCCTTCTCCCACCCCCACCACACTTCCCATTCCTTCATCTGCCCACTATAGTAATACTGTACTTAAAAAAATTTTTTGTTTTTACTTCATTATTACTAGGAAACATTACTCACATCTTGGACAAACTAGTACTGATACTGCGATTACTGCTACTGCTCAGCGTTTTGTTTTTCCTACAGTTAATACTATCTTATTTTTGTTTACTATTTATCACTAAGCCAAGCCCCTACTTCTTCATGATTGCTTAAATCCCTTCCACCAGAGATTTTGATAGATGAGATGTTCCATCAGTTTCATCTTTCGCAAGGAGTCTCTCTCCTGGGCCTTCTGACCTGTATCAGTCTATGTCTTGTGCACAGTTGTTGTTGAGGCATCACTTCATTTTCTCCTGTGTTGTATCTTCTGTTTAATATATCCTATGTTTTCTTTTTTCTTTGTTTAGTCCTTCATATTAGTGGAGCACAACCTCCAGTAGCTTCCTCGGAAAGGAGAAGGGAACTTTTTCGAGATCTTGAATATCTGAACACACCTTTATTCTTTACCCACATTCAATGGGTAGTTTACTAATCAAGCAAAATTTTCAGTTTGAAATAAATTTCCTTTTGGATTTTGATAGAATTACGCTCATGTCTCCTAGCTTTCTCGGTGACTACTGAGAAATTGAAAGATATGTGGAGTCTCCAGCCTTTGTTTTTCTCTCTGAAAGCTTAGCGTTGTGTTTCGCCCCCAGTGTTCTGCAGTTTCACAATGATGAGCCGTGGGATCAGTCAGTTTTTATCCATGTGCTGGGCACTGGGTG